GCTCACCAGTGTCTGCCTACCGAAACCCGGTCTGGCCAGTCATCTCTCTGTGGTTGGCTCACACAAAGACCGCCCTGTAAACGCTGTAATGCCAGCCGCAATCGCGCAATTCGGACACCAATCCTGTCTCGCGCTGGTTGTCCGCTCATCCGATTGCAAACTTCCTCAAAACTATTATTCAATTTGCTTGTACAGAATATACTATTACGTCCACCTGGCGTCCCACTTCCTTTCTTCCAACATGGAACCGGGCCAGAAGGTCGCAGGGGCAAGTGCTTTACCTGTTAACTGAAGCCACTGCGATATTCCAACATGAGTTGTAGCCGCATTTCGCATCTTAACCCTAACCCTGGGTTTAATTCTAAATTTCGCCTTAAAATAAATCCTCATTTCAACGCTAATCTTAATCCTAACTTAACCACAAACTTTACTTATTTAGAATGTAGTGCACAGTTATCTGTATTACTGGCTATCCATATACACCCGGAGCATATAACCGTTCTCCACCGAAGCTATCCGTATTTTAAGCTTCCTTATAAATTTCCCGTTAAATACGCCCGGTTTTCCATTTATTGCACAGAAATCCTACCCAAAACTATTTAAGATAGCAGTCCGTTCAGACTGTTTTCCCGTGCAAATGCTCTAAAAACCGCCAGTGCGTTCTGTGCAGGATTGCAAACTCAGCGTGGGTTTCGTGATTAAGTTACTAGATTTCTTCGGCTGAATGCTCGTTTACCCTATTTTTACAGCGTTGCATTTTTCAGTATTTTAATATCTCAGGGCCATATTAAAAATATGTTCAATTTAGAATAATTATTCTACTTAAAAGTAGGTAGTAACATATGTACATGATTATCACAGTGCGTTATGTTATTAAGGAAGACCCTTGGCACTGCGATCTTCTAACCCGGTTCCGTAGGGGAAGAGAAGAAATTAGATGCCTGATTGGAGTACCAATGTATTCTGTACAGAGGTAGGGGGAAAAAGTTAGAGGAAGTTGACAGTCGGAAGAACGTACGCCAGGCTGCGAGGGCCAGCATCCGAAGTGTCTAAACGGGACAGTCGTCGCAGTAAGGTCCTTTGTGAGTCAGCCACAGGGGGATAATTGGCCAGAACGGACTGAAATCGACAAGCTGGTGCATGCGCACTTGCAAGCAGCCGAACGAGGTTGAGCGTTCGCGCAATTTGAGGCACCT